TTGAAGATCATAGTTGCCAGAAAAGCAAGAAACTGGAAGAAAGTTCCAAAGGGGAGAAGTGAGAGAGAAGAAACTATTCGAACAGAACTCACATTTAGCAATTTCAACAGAAAAATGATGAGACCTAACTGACAATTTGGTACTTGTATCAAGGTACCAAAAAAGAAAAGCTCATCATGACAATTACCATTAATGTATTTATTGAAAAGGCAGAGAGAAGCTATGTTGTAGTGGTAGGAAAGCGACGGAAGCAGAGACATTGCAAACTCTTCTTTGGATTTTATTAAAAATTTCTATACATATATCAGAAGCACCAGACCAGATGTTGTAGCAACATTCAAATCAAGGACAAATAGTAGACTTATAAATTAAGATAGAGTCTGGTAAGAAAAATTGTCTAGCGCAACACAGTGAACCAAATTTTCTAGCAGCAGGCCTAGCAATTGATTCAATATAATCTTTCCACTTCATGTCCATGGAAAATATTAGACTGATAAGGAATAATGAGTTATTCTCTTGGAGGTTAGGATTAGTCATAGTGATGGAAGGCTTAAAAGGTTCTCTGAAATGATTAATGATTTAGAGGCATTAAAATTAACAAGCCATTTCTTGCCCTAGTTAACAACAGATTGAAGGTCATATTCATATCAATTGCCAATCTGAATTAATCAAACCTATCAGACAATAACAATAACATTGATTTCCACAAGCAGAAGCACAGGGTTAGATGGCAACTGTTGAAAAACTGCTTTTGTCTCTATACCTAATATCAGAAGTGTGTCAGAAAGTATTTAAAGGACTTACATCTCATTCAACATCAAAACAGTACTGAAAAATAGTTCCACTCCCTTGGAGACAGCTCACCATAACCAAACCTCCAGCTGATGAGAATATGAGTAAAAACTGTATTGTCTACATTCTCTGCAGGTATATCAGGTAATAGAGAAGACCACCAGCCATCCTCTAAAAGTAAAATAATACTGAAAAGTCATAATCCATGAAGAGACTATGAAATCAGGTATAGCTGATCTTGTGTGGAGAGAAAGGAGGTGGTAGTCATCAACTTGTGGAAGGCAGTCAGATAGAGAACAATAAAGAGATTGAAAGAATCAGCACACATGCTAGGCTCTGATAATGTAGCTTTGATAAGAAAGAACAGACATTAGTTTTAAGGCTTTCAAAATTCCAACAACTAATTGCCTTATACAACAATGGCCTAATGTGAGTAACAATGCATATGCTGTTTAGCTGGTTAACTGGAATGAGCAGAATCAATATAAAGATGAATAACTAGTACAACATACCCTCAAACATGTACAGTAAAATGAGAACACTCCATCCTAGTGGGTTGAATAAAGGGTTCAGTTCACAATTCACAAAAATCTTACTATATACATGCACCTAAGAAGGAAAGAACATAACATGGCCAAACTCCTCCCCAGTCTTTTGAACAGGAGTAGAGGTTTATCCCTGGTTTACTGTTTCTAGTTCTTTCTAAAAAAAATTTTTTTTTAATTATTCTCAGTAGCCCCTTGCATCTTAGCGACATTATTGCCTTGCTTGGGGTGAATTGATTAAAAAAAAAATACAATATCATTAACCTCAATGTCATTGACTTAATGGAAACAGAGCAAGCAATAACCAAGTTATACTAAATAAGAATAAGATGAGATATCCCTAGAGATGAACACTGGAACATGAACAATTACCCTGTAGATTAAATAAAGTGTTGAGTTTGAAAATACCTAAAGAAGGCCAGCAAGTAAAGCAGTCAAAATACTATGATAATAACATCCAAGATAAGGATATTAGTCTGGTTGTAAATTTTATAAAGATAAGGACACCAATTTGAATGAATCAGCATGTAATAATGAATTCCTTATGTCTGAAATTCAGGCAGAACTTCCTTCCATTAATCAAGCAACAGGGGAGAAAACAAAAAAACAAAATGAAGTCTGAACTTCACTATTTCCCTCCTGTAGAGCTTAAAAAAATCAAGTTCAGTCCAGCACGAGTTTGAAATGTTTATATTCATTGAAATATTTCCAGCTGAAAGCAGCCATTTTTTATTTGCTTAACGACTCGCATTCCCTGCAGGGATTTTTTTTTTTTTTTTTTTTAAAAAGTCTTTCTTGCAACCTCTTGATTTCAAGCTAAGAAAAAAATAAGCAAATTCTAAAAAGGTGAAAAATATCAAATTTAATGTTAAAAGGATTAAATAAAAAATAAAAAAAAAGAAATAAAAATTACTAGTTGTCAAAGTATATCAGTATTTTTTAAGTCAAAATCAATATTTTATTCTATATCAATTATTTTTTTTCAATAACTGCATATTGATATGAAGATTTATCAATAATATATATCAATATTTTTATTTATTCTATATCAACATTTTTACCGATTCTTTTACAAATAAAATTTACTGATTAAATCATTTGAAGTACTGTCTACTATTAATTTTCGTCATTTAAATTAGAAATTCCTGGCATTTTGGTGCTGAAAGCAAACCAGATGTCATGTTGAACATACAACCAATTTCTGAGTTTTATCTTGAAAGGAAATAAGTCTGCTATTCATCCAGGCTTTGAATATTGCTGCCACATATAGTCTGGTGCTCCTATATATTTAAATATATTAAATAAAATCCAAAAAAGTATCTGCAATGTTATTGGTCCCGACATGGCAGCTTCCCTTCAGTCACTTAGTCTCTGCTGTAATGTAGCTTTCCTGTGCTTTTTCTATAAATATTTTCATGGTAATTGTTCAGATGAACTGTCCTCCATGGTACCGAGACATTACAAATTTAAGCGCAGTACTAGATTGGCAGCTAGATCTATGCTAAAAGTTTCTTTTATCACACTTCTCACTTGTGGAAGTCTCTTCTGGCTTCTTGCTACCCAGTCAATTTTGATTTTCAAAAATTTAAATGCAATCTCAATCATTATCTTCTGTCTTAATTCTTGTTTTTCATTGTCCTTTCTCCAAAATAGTACATTTTTCTCATATTCCTTAACATTCAGTAACCTCTTGCATCTTGGCTGTATTACCTTGCATGAAGTGAAATGATTAAATAAAAAAAAAATTTAAAAAAAAAAAAGGGATGAAAATCCTATGTTGCAGAGTTGTGAATAAAAGAATGACTTTCAAGGCTTTTTAAAAAAAAAAAAAAAAAAAAAAAAAAAAGAGAACTAGATTTGAAACTGTTACCCTAAGTGGGCCTGCATGATGAAAAAAACAAAATATGAAAGACCTCACTGCTTGCAGACAAGTAGCCAAGGACTGCAAGAATAACATTTTAGAGTAAACTACCAAATGTACTGATACATACTAAAGGTATGTCTCAGTCAAAAACAAAGATTATGCATCATTTTTTGGTAATGGATAAGCTGGCACCAACCATTTCTCTATTTTTTTTTTTTTGTTTTGTTTTGTGGGGTATGTAGAACCAGATTATGACTCTTTTGGAGGCCGAGGCTAATTAAATTATGAGGCCCACCTTCAGACTGAGCCCACACCTGTCTCGAATATATATAATTTTTTTTTTTTTTACTTATTGTGATATATTTTAGCAATAATTACAGAGCTTAAAGTAAACTTATTGCAATTTTTTTAAAAACAGGACAGCTATCTTTTGTTTGTCAATAAAAATATTCCTTAAAAAAATAGCACTATTTTATGATTTATTGCAAACCGAATTAGCACATATTTCAACACAACTGTAAAAATAAAAAAAAAATTATGTTTGAAATGGTTAGATGTAACCCTGAGTTGTACAGTAATAGTTTTGTTTATCACACTTCTCACTTATGAAACTCTTTTCTGGCTTCTTGCTTCGCATTTAACTTTGATCTTCAAAAGTTTAAATGCAGTGTTAATCATTATCTTCCATCTTAATTCTTGTTCTTTTATTGTCCTTTCTTCATAATGGTATATTTTTCTTATATTCTCCAACACTCAGTAACTCCTTGCATAGTTTAAAAAAAAAAAAAAAAAAAGCAAAAGTGGATTTTTTTATAACCAACATTATAATAAAACAAAAATACAAATTTCCTATACTAATATGATTTCAGTTTATGAAACTATTTAGAAGTTTTAATATCTAGAAAATTAGAATCACTACTTTTATAAAATTGTTTAAGATTTAAACATTCTGAACTAAAATCAAACATGTTATATTCTTGAAACACAATGACACAAATTAAAACATACTTTTTCTTGCTTAGCTTCCTGCAAAGTCAAATAAATATGAGTTTGTCATATTGATATCATTTCAGTTTATGAAACTATTTAGAACTTATCTAAAAAAAAAAAAAAAAAGAAAAGAAAATCCTTGCTTTATAAAAGCTTGAAGCGCCCTAGTCTGCAGTCTATACTAGGCCTAAAGGATAATCTGGCCTTGGGGGTAAGTTAAGTTTAGATCTAGTTTTTGATATCTGCCACACATTTTCTTTACTTATTGTGTGATCCCTCCCCACCAGATATATCAACATTTCATATTTTTGAAAGATTTATAACGCAACAATCTTAGAAAGCAGTTGTATAAAGAGAAAATAAAGATAAATCACCTTTTTTTTTTCAGCTTCATAAAAAATAAATTTCAATACAACCAATAGAGATTGATATTTATATTTGAAGACATATTGGAATGGCCAAAGATGCAATCGAAAAGCTAAGCAGAGTATTAAGAGATAGAAAAATTTCTTTAGAAACGAAGAGTATTGAGCTGTTACATGATATCTGTCCTCCTGTATGGCAATGAATGCTGAGCAATCTCAAAGCCAGAAAATATTTTTTTTAGATTATAATAATATTTTGAAGATAATGATTTACTGATACAAGGCCTACTAATTAATCTATAGTGGGGGGGAGAGTTGGATTCATACCTTTCCTAAGGGTATTTGCATCTAAGTGAATATAAACAATCCAACTAGAATTTGAACTCTGCTCTCAGATTTCCAATTCCAAGCTGTTATCCATTACATCCCATGTACATCCAGGATTATAGCACTGGGTATTCCCAAGCAGTCACCCATCTAGGTACTGACCGGGCTCTATGTTGCTTAACTTTGGTGATCGTACAAAAACTGGTGTTTTAAGGTAAATCTATCTCTTCTTCAAGTAATACAAAGCTGGTTTCACAAAAAAATTACCAGTGAGAGTGATCCTCACTATGTTCTCCATATTAGTGGCCTTGTGCCTTACTAAGATAGGTTGTGCAAATGATTGTAACACTCCTGGTGTGGTGTCTAGGGTAGAAGGATTTTCTTTATCTTTTTAACTAGGAGAAAAAAAAATGAAAGTAACATATTTAAAGGTCAGGAATGGTTTTTTTTTGGGGGGGCTTAGAATCAAATTTCCCACTTAATATCATGAGAAAACTATGAAATAAGCCTGTCAGTTTGGCTCAAATTGAAAGGGAGTTTCAAAATGTTGAAAGTTTAAAGGTTATATACCTAATGTTCTTTCATCTACTGTGCATCATCAAGGCTCTCCACAACTTCCTATCCTTTGTAGCTCTTAGCAGTGTTCACCTTTACTATATCTCTTTTCCCTATCCTGCCATCTATTTGTACCAGATTCTCTTGCGCACCATATCCCTTCAGGCTCTCCACAACTTCCTATCCTTTGTAGCTCTTAGCAGTGTTCATCTTTACTATATCTGTTTTCCCTATCCTGCCATCTATTTGTACCAGATTCTCTTGTGCACCATATCCCTTCAGGCTCTCCACAACTTCCTATACTTTGTAGCTCTTAACGTTTTTTTTTTTTCTTTCACTATTCTTCCTAGTTCCTATTCTGCCATCCATTCACATAAAAATACGTAAGGCAGGGTAATCGCTATTTCCCCTCTGCTCCTCTTACTTTCATTATGTCCTGTGAGTGTCAAATTCTCCAAGTCATCTTTCTTCATTATGTGTTTTAGAAATTTCAACTGTATCTTTCTGACCTTTTCATTTCCACTTTGAAACTTCCTTGTTGTTTACATGCCTCCCCCATGGAATTCTCAGCATTATACAGGGTGTCCCAAAATAATGTATACACTCTTTAAATATTAATAGTTAATAATGCATTACTGTGATGTGAGAACTTATATGGATGAAAATATGCAAAACAGATGGATTGAAAGAAGAGGGACAGTTGAATCCTCAGATTTGACACCCTTGGATTTATTTTTGTGGGGTTTTCTAAAAGACAAAGTTTACAGCAGGAAACTTGAAACAATTGCTGAAATGAGAGTAGCAATTGAAGAAGAATGTGCTCAAATACCAGAGGAAATGTTACTGGACGTTTGTAGGTCTATTTCTTCAAGATATGAAAAGTGTATTGAACAAAATGGCAACCAGTTGATGGGAACTTTATATGAACAGTCTGCCATTGCCCAAAGTAGCTTTTATTTTATTAAAGTTAATTTTCTATGCTTTTTGTGTATTTTACTCTCAAATCCTTTAAATGAATATTCTTTCTCTTGTATTAATCTTATTTACAAATCAAAATACATAAATTGAATAAGTTATAACGATTCAAAGAGTGTATTCATTATTTTGGGACACCCTGTGTATGTATATATTTTACTATAAATCTTAGAGAAGAACCAGTGGCTTACCCACACTTAGCTCCACTAAGATACTATTAAGTGGGGCTGTTAAACTGCTAACAAAACTACTCACATCCTGTCTTGCTCTTTGACTCCCAGCATGCTGTAGTGACAACACCAACCAGGACTTTGAACCAAGTATGGGGACATCTTTCCTCAGCTAATTGAACTTTCACACACAATTTATAATTCCTAAATTTTAGTGTTCTTTCTTTTACATGCATACTAGTGTATTTTCTCTTTGTCACTCAGTTATATAAAAATATCAACTTAATATTTATTAAGAATTTTTTTACAGTCAATATCATTATTATATTTAAGTATAAGGTAAATATTTACGATTCCTTATAGCTAACCATAAAAAGAAATGTTGATCAAAACTGCCTAAAATTTGTAAGTTTAGTAAACCCTTAAAAGGGGAGAAAATAATGTTACATAAATCAATAAAGAAAGTTTACAAAATCAGAAAGCCAGACGAGACGTCTTAGTTAATTGATTTGTGTTCTGCAGGTTATTTAAAGCCAGAAAATGTTTTTTCTTTTTTTTTTTTTTAGATTATTATAATGTTTTGGAGATAATGATTTACTGATACATGGCCTACTAATTAACCCATAGTAGGGGGAAAATATGGATTCATACCTTTCCTAAGGGTATTTGCATCTAAGTGAATATAAAGAATCAGACTAGAATTGGAACCCGGCTCTCAGATTTCCAATTCCAAGCTGTTATCCATTATATCCCATGTACATCTAGGTACGGGGATATCTTTCCCCAGCTAACTGAATTTTCACACATATTTTATAATTCCTAAATTTTATTGTCTTCTTTCTTTTACAAACATACTAGTGTATTTATTCTTTGTCACTCAGTTATATAAAAATATCAACTTGCTGATATTTATTCTATTTCTTTTCACCTCTGCAAGCAACGCCAACACATCATTTGATGCAGTCAACAGAGGAGGGAGTGTATTCAACAATAAAAACTGAAAATTGCTTTTTTCACGGCAAATTATTCATTAGATCATATAAAAGTATTTTACAAAAAATATGAGCCAATTACACAATATTTCAAGCTCAATTTAGGTTTATAGTTTCTAACCATGCAATGAGTTGAGGTAACATGAACCATAGATTTGTCTGAGGAATATCATTATTGTTACATAATTATAGTGAAATCTTTAAGGTTTTTTGATGAAAGCATTTTATTTTTAGTTGTATATTAATTTAAAATATTCCTTTTTACAGGCTTTATTTTTTAAATACAATAAGATTCTAAATTTCAGAATTTTACTATTGCCCATCAAAATGACTGGAAGAAAGCAATCTTAAAAACAACAATGGAAAAGAGAGTTAAATACCTAACAACAAATTGAATATAGCATCAAAATTTATATTATTTTTATTTATTTGTTATGTAACTGTCATGGGTCCTTACCTATAACTACAGAATGAACTCTTCTTAACACTATGTATACTACGCCTCTCAAGAGAGAGGGTTAATTGAGTCGAGCGATAGTAGTTCCTCCAAACCAGACTGACAGTCATACTAACACCTTCCACCTCTTTGTTATTATTATTTCGTGTAATATACCTTCGTTATTTCTACTCTTGTGTTCATGTTGCTCTTCCTTTGTCCTAACATGGACCATAACAGTAACTAAATACATAATTGTCAACAATGTTTCCATAAAACTTGATATTTCCTGTAATAAATTCTTAATATTATTATTGTTATTTTATTTAAGTGTAAGGCAGTCCTACATGTACAATTCCTTATGGCTCGCAACATCTGCAACCCTCAAAATCTATCTTAAATGTATTTTCACATGTAAACTACAAAAGTAGCTTCAGATCTATGGTTCTGATGTAATCATGATGAAATGTAATTCCTTTCAGCTCTCCACAGCTTCCTCTTCCTTTAATATCTGGAAACTGAATTTTACTATGGACAGAGCAACAGGGAAATTTTAAGAAAAATAGAAGCAAAAAAGACACTAAGGATCAAAAAGAGTTGAAATATCCAGGATAAGGAAAGAAGACTTGGAAAATTTGGCACTCACAGGACATATTGAAGGCAAGTGGGGCAGATTGAAACAGCAAATAACCTACATAATGAGCCCGTGTCAATGGACATCAGATCAGTGAGTGGGAAGGATAATAAAAAAGCAAACATTACTAAGAACTAAAAATGATACAAAATTGTGGAAAGTCATAAGTACCCACATCCTGAAGGGACATGCCATATAGAAGAAACTCTGCACTGCTATGATTGTTCTTAGTAAAAAAATATTGAGATGGTTTTCTTTAGTCTTTTCCACAGATGAATTCAGAATTGGCTGTCTTCTGAATTGGTGGCCAATCAAAGCTAGAGAGTATAGTCTGCCCTCCTATTTAACTCACACAGAGACGTATACTCTGAAAGAAAAACTCCTTAAAACAAAACTCAAGAAAAAAAAGGTCAACTGATAGCAATTTCAGTCAAAACCACTGCCAGTATCAAATTTGTTCAGACATTCCCTTTAAAATGGGGAGACTATTTCTTTTCCTATAAATAATTTCAGCAAGAAAAAAAAGTGCAGGTGGAAAATGCTAGCATTGAATTTCCTGTTATTTAATTAAATATATTGCTACTTATTAAATTAGGAAATAGTTTTTATATCTCCATCACAAATAAACCTATTCTCTCAGTAATCCATGCATTTATTCTGAACTACTAAGAAATTACTTCATTTTTATTCTCACTGCATTTAAATCACACACATATATATATATATATATATATGTGTGTGTATATATATGGTGAACCCTCCCATCATATGAAGGTCAAGCAGCTCAGTTCCTATGAAACAACAGCCAGACACCAGCACATATGATTCGATTATAGTGGTGAAGGCTTTGTGCAGAACCAACCACACTTTTTGAAGGGCTGAATACAGAGACCTGATGCACTATGTGCCACAAGGTTCCCAAACAACCCTCCGCAGGTTTTGAATTTAGAGTTGTCCTTCTCCTAGATCAGATGCCATCCAAGGCTATAGAACCCAGTCTGTCCTGCTGGAGGGAGAAGAGGATTCATACCAAGGGAATTAGTACTTAAGTGAATATAATGGATTAGGCTGAAAATCGAACCTGGCTCTCAGATTCTTCAAACTGAGCTGCTATTCACCGTACCTCACATATATATATATAAAACATTAGGCAACATATGATTTACATACAAAGAATAATCACACATAGAATTAATGATGATGGATGGAAGACTGTCCGTAAGTACTAGCATTTTAACATCAAATAAACTGAAAAACTACAAACAAGTTTTTCTTCAAGGATCAAAACTTGCACTATGGATGAACAGGATTTTAATGCATATATTATGTTTTCTAACGATGGATGTCGTCAATAATCGCATTGATACTTCTGATTAATTCTATGTGTGATTATTCTTTATATATATATATATATATATATATATGTGTGTGTGTGTGTACACATGGTCAGT